TATTCTCACTTATTTTCGCATTGTCTGTTATCGGAACAATTATAGAAGTCGTGTGATTATTGACTATCCCTTAACTGGCACTGGATTTGATGATTTAGGAGATGAAGTCCGTCCTAGAGACGTACTTGCACAACGCGCTACAATTCGTTTTCCCTCAAAATTGCTTTGAAGAGCTGGTTATCAACTTCAATATATTTCATCGTAAGTCCTCACTTTGAAAAGATTGCATGATAATCATCTTTTGCATTTAGCAACATGTCCGAAGATGGTATTGAGCCGTGCTCTTGGTCTTGGAATTACTGGCGGATCTATTCTCCTTTTTGTACCTCAAATCATAAAGATCTTCACTGCGAAAAGCGCTAAGGTATACTGTTTTTTTATCTTTTAAATGCATCGAACAATTTGCCGTTCCAGGGAATCTCACTCTTGTCCCAACTTCTTGCTCTCGTCGCTGCTGCTGGTACCGCTGCCTATAGCTTTAACAAAGGATTCGTTTTCAGGTTAGTTTCATCCTTGGTTTCTCTGATTCTTATAATCCCTTTTCCAGTCAATGGGGTGATTCGTTTTTCGTTGCCATTCAGCTCATGATCATCGTTATGCAGATTCTCTATTATTCGGACGCTAGTGCTTATGCTTTTGCATTTTTTGCATTTTGGTTGGTGGATTTATCCAGCAGTCCTATCTACCCCTCTTTGCAAAGTCTTCATTTAGTTGGGCGTTTGTATTTGCTGTCATCGGAAATTACGTGCCAGCGGAGATCCTGATGATGATTCAGGCTCTTGGCATTCCTATTACTGTTGCTTCGAAGGCAAGTGGTTTTTGTGTTATTTGGTTATTCGCAAGACAGATGTGAAGATAGTTTGATAATTGCTTTGAAAAGTGTTACTTTAGTCCATCCAAGCCTGGCAAAATTTCAAGAACCAAAGCACTGGCCAGTTGTCGCTTGTTTCTGCTTCGTTGCAGTTTGCAGGTGAGCTTAATATCCCGTGCAAGCGCATAGTGCGCTTAAATATTTCGTAACAAAACTAACTTTCTTGGAAAATAAGGAATCCTGTCTTTCTCAAACCACCAGTTTTGCTTCTACAGGGTCTGGTGCAGTTCGCACATTCTTCCAAGTTTATTTTTTTTTCAAAAATCGTAAATCTTTCTGCTACGCTATTCTCATTTTTGTTCGAAGATAAGCATGCGTTTCTCTCTTGCTTTCTCATTTTTGA